TCTTCATCTTTGGCTTTGGTGGTTGGTGCGTAAATTTGAATAATATTAGTATTAACTGCTCTTCCTTGTAGGCGTATGGATATTATCCTATCACTGACAGCATTGTATTTCAGGACAGATCTTGAAATACTCTTTGTGATGATGAATGTCACACCAACTTTTTTTAATTTGTCATTGTTGGCATAGTGCATTATGGTTGTCTGATTCAAAATGGCCAAAGCTAGTCCATTTTAGTGCACTAATACCTAGGATACCGATCTTTATGCATTTTATTTCATTTTGGTAACTTCCAATTTTCCTAGATTCATACTTCGTACATTCCATGTTCCAATTATCAATGGATGTTTGCATCTTTTTCTACTCATTTTGAGTTGTGCTACATCAACCAATGGAGGTCCTGAAAGCTTTACTCTATGCATATCGTTAAGGTTGTCTCTACTCCAAGGAGTCACCTCTTCCCCAAATTTTGAATACCTTCTGACCTGATGAGCTCATCTTCTGGCATTGTATCGGTCAATGTTTTGGAGCTATTCATAAAGTTTTCTAGTAATATATCAGTGTTTCACTGCTATTCATACAGTTTCCCCTAGCCAATTCTTTGAGAAGTAGATGGCCTCTTCCTTCCTCTGAGTCTGCGTTAGCCTGGAAACCCCACTGAAACCTGCCTGCCATGGGTAACCCTGGTGGCATTTTGCAACATGGTGGCACAGCCTCCAGCCTCAAAGCAACATGCAAGCCACCACAGGATAGCAAACTGACAGTCAAGTTTGTCTCCCTTAGTTGTTCATAACCCCTCTGCACCTGCCTACCTCAGGCAATGGCCTCAATATGGAGCCACCCACAAGCGAAAAGCAGGCTCTGAGCCCTGGCCCGCCTACCTCAGGCCCCAACTTTAGTATAGAGTCACCCCCAAGTGCAAAGAAGCCTCCAACCCCCAACCCTGCCTACCTCAGGCCCTGACTGTAATATAGAGCCACACTCAAGCAGAAAACAGGCTCCAAACCTTGGCCCCACCTACCTCATTAGCCTTTAGAGAGATGCAAATCAAAACAACAATGAGATACCATCTGGCCCCAGCACTAATAGCAAAGTTCAACAAGACAGAAAATAAGAAATGCTGTTGAGGATGTGGAGAGAATGGGACTCTCATATACTTCCGGGGGGACTGTCAAATGATACAATCACTGTGGAAAGCAGTATGGTGATTCCTTAAAAAGTTAGAATTAGAAATACCATTTGATGCAGCAGCTTCTCCATCTTTGGCTTTAGTGTTTGATGTGTAAATCTGAATAGCAGTAGTAGTACCTAGTCTTCCTTGTAGGCATATGGATATTATCCTATCACTGATAGCACTGTATTTCAAGAACGAACCTGAAATGTTTTTTCTGACAATTAATGTGACACCATTATCATTTAATTTTTCATTCCTGGAATTGTAAGCCGTATGGAGACTTTGTGATTCAAAATGGCCAATACCAGTGCAATTCAGCTCACTAATGCATAGGATATTGATTTTCCTGCATTTCATCATTTTTGACAACTTCAAATTTTCCCAGTTTCATACTTTATAGCTTCCACATCCCAATTATTAATGTATATTTGCAGCTGTTTCTTCTAATTTTGAATCATGCCACATAAACAAATGAAGATCCCGAAAGGTTAACTCCATCTATGTTATTAAGGTTGACTCTACTTTGAGGAGACAGCTCTTCCTCCACCATATTGTAAGTGTTTTCTATCCCGAGGGGCTCATCTTCTGGCACTGTATCAGACAATGTTCCCCTGCTATCGTAAGGTTTTCAGTGGGCAATTTTTTTGGAAGTGGATCTGGCCACATCCTTCTTTCCTTGTCTTAGTCTAGGAAACCTGTCCAACTTGGGTGACCCTGCTGGTACTTAAAACATTATTGGCAAAGCTTCCAGCATCATAGCAACACACAAGCCACCACAGAAAGAGAAAATGACAGACGAGTGGTAGATTCTCACAACAGCTGTCTGAAAATGTCAGTGTTAGTCCCTTCTCTAAACTCTTATCATAAAGATGACAGGTAGCTAATTTATCCCTCCCTTTTTCTTCATTTGAGACACCCACATGCTAACTTATCTTTCTCCTTTTCTTCATTTCATCATGCCCCCCACACACAGCCATGCATGTTTTCTGAGAGGATTGTTAAGATAAGAATGTATATAGAAATACTGCGTAAGCTGTAAGATGCCCTACAAATTAATTTCTTTTATTCTCTTTGGATGATGAAACTACCCTGAGTATATAGAGATCTTTGTACAAGACTCACTTCCTATTTGGTTATCGTTTATCGAGCTCTTTTGCTGTGACAAACTGAAGAATAATCACTCCCTCCTGCACCACACTCTGCTGCCAACCCTGTTTTTGTTTTATAAGCTCACTTAGGTTCAGAAGAACCTGGATATAATGGAAAGAAATAATAAATAAAATAGTAACCAAGCAGCTGAAATCAAGTAATATGTAGACTGTGAAACTTTCTTGAGCAGGGCTGGATACCCCTCAAAGGCTCTGTCAATAACTTTAATGTAATAGAACAGTTTTCCCTTTCTTTCTCTGCCTTCTTTTTTCTTCCTGTTTGGGGGAAAGTACAAAAGGGGCAGAAATGGAACCAAGCGTTACCTGAAAATATTTGATCCTAAACTTTCTGTCTGAGTTACTACGATAAATCTCATGACCACAAATCAAACCATAAGCAAATATATTTTATTCCAAAATAAGCTTGATAAGCTAACATAGACATCTATTTTCCCACTTTCGGATAAAAGGCATTTCACACCCTGGAAGACTGATGAGAGGCTGGTTGTAGACAGAAAAGGATATCCTAAATATCTGATTTCATATACAGTACGTATAGATTACTCAATACTAACCTTCTAAATAAAAACAGTGTGGTTGAATGGGGGGGGACACCCCAAAAAACCAAGCACAGGGTATTTTATTTTGAATATTTTCAAGTTCTAGTTAATTAATAAATATTGCCATGTTCCACTGTTACAAGTTTAAATGGAAACATAACATTACTAGGCAGCTAAAAATAAAGAGCTTCTCATTCTCACCACAAAATAAACATTAATGAAATACTTTTAGAATTTAGCATAGAAAGTTCAGAAAATTTACTCCAGTAAAAATCTTAAATTATTATTATTTTTTACCTCTTAAGAAAAACCAAACATATTCGCCATATTCCTATAAAATTACCACTAATCCATTCAACATACCAATATTTATCTGTGATACAAACTAGATCACAAATTTAGAAATGCAATAGGGCTCAAATATTAGCCTATTTATATGAATAAATCCTATGATATAAGAATATTTCCTACAAAATTGTGCTAATATAAAATCAAGAATAAGACCATTCTTATGATTCTGGTATTGTTGTTGTTGTTGTTATGTGCCGTCGAGTCGGCCCCGACTCATAGTGACCCCTCCTTGGATTTCTGAGGCAGTATCACTACGGAAGTAGATTGCCCCATCTTCCTTCTGAGGAGTGGCTGGTGGGTTGGAACCGCCAGCCTTCTGGTTAGCAGTCAAGTGCCTTAGGCACTATGCTACCAGAGTTCCTCCCAAAATCACAAAGACAACAACCACCAACTTCATTCTCACCCAAACGAACAAAATCTTCATATGCTGGCCTCCTTACAACACATACTTTAAAATTTAACGTGTCTAATAATCAATTACCAGCACCACCAGTTTGTCATACTATGGTGGCTTACATGCTACTACAAGGCTAGAATCTAAGCCATGAGTATTTCAAACACTAGCAGGGTTCTCTGTGATAGAGAGGTTTCAGTGGTGCTTCCAGACAAAGACTAGGAAGAAAGCCTGGCAATTTACTCCCAAAAATTAGCCACGGAAACCCTATGGATCACAAAAGAACACTGTCCAACTTGCTTGCTATGGACACGCCATCAGGAGCAATCAAGTGCTAGAGGAGGACATCATGTTTGGTGAAGCGAAGCAGCAAGCAGAGTGTGGGACACCATCAACGAGATGGCTTGGCACTGTTGCCACAATGAAAGATTTGAAAACTAAGCAAAATAATGGAAAAAAAAAAATGATCCAGATCAGAGCAGAAATCAATGAAAAGTGAAAACAGAAAAGCAACAGAAAAATCAATGAAACCAAAAACTGTTCTGAAGTGTAACTGACTTCAGTTTTAGCAAAGTACATGGCAATGAAAAAGAGGATATAAAGAACTAGAAGTGATTAAAAAAAAGTGATCAAAAAGTGATTAAAAAAGAAGTAGAAGTGATATAAAGAAGCAGAAGTGATAAAGTCCAAAGTGCAGATGATACAGTTAAATATTCTGACTTTACCACATAATAATGGTATCTCATGTAACTCTTCTTCAGCTTGTTTCTTAATTTGTAAAAAAATGGGATTAAAAATAATCTTTCACAGGGTGAATGCAAGGATTCATATTTCTGAAAATACTTTGAAAAGAATAATAATGAAGATGTTTTGCTCTAATTAGTTAGGTTAATGGACTAATTACTATCTAAAACATGAAATGATATACTAAGTTCAATAAACCTTTAAGGGCCTTGAAGTATGATATCACAGCAAAGCAAAATTCACAAATTACCATAAAATATTTTTAGTGGCCATTCTGGAGCTCAAATGGGAAAATTAAACCAACTCATTGTCATCAAGTTGATTCTAGCTCATAGCGACCCTATAGGACAGAGAAGAAATGCCCCATAAGGTTTTCAAGGCTACGTATTTTTATGGAAGCTACCTCATCTTTCTGCAGAGCGACTGATGGGTTCAAACTGCCAGTCTTTTGGTTAGCAGCCTAATGCTTTAACCACTGCGCTACTAGACCTCCTCACAGGGAAAAGTCACAACGTATTAATAATAATTGATTTCTTGATTAAGTTTTATTTTCAAGGAAAAAGGTGACACACACAAAAAAAATAAAAATAAAGAACTTTTTATGAAACAAATACAACTGATTGCAGATATACCTTTTTGCAGATACTTTCAAAGTTTAAATCATCACCAAGAGCAGATTTAGTTACTTCATCAGGTTTCAATTCCTGTGAAAGAACAAAACAACTTTCAGTTATGAGCCTAAATCTCTTCATATGTCTCACTGTAAGAAAACTTATTAAATAACATCCTAATTTTTAGAAGAAGGTTACTCCTATCCAATTCAATGGCAGAAGTGAGTTTTTTTTTTTTTTAAACACCTACCACAGTAAGAATTTTCATAAAAACCCACTGCCGTCAAGTCAATTTCAACTCATAGTGACTCTATAGACAGAGTAGAACTACCTATGTGGTTTCCAAGGCTGTAAATCTTTCCAGAAGCAGACTCTCACATATTTCTCCTGCAGAGTGGCTGGTGGGTTTGAACTGATGACCTTTCAGTTAGTAGCCAAATGCTTTTAACCACTGTACCATTAGAGTGCCTTAGAATTTTCACGCTACCACAAAAATGATGGCAAAACAACTTTATCCCGTTTGTGATCTATGGGACATTTATCACCCATCAACATTTTTAGCCTCTTAGGTTTCTTGTGAAGCTGATATCCTAGTTATAGTATGTGCAGGGACCCAGGAACCTGTATATCTGAAGAAATGGGCCTCATCCCACCAATCCTACCACATGAGTCTATTTGGGACATATCAAACCAAAAACCCACTGCCATTGAGTAGATTCTGACTCATAGCGACCCCCACTGGGTTTCCAAGGTGGTAAATCTTTATGGAAGTAGATTGTCCCATCTTCCTTCCACAGAGCAGCAGCTGGTGGGTTTGAACTGCTAAACTTCTGATAAGCAGTCACCACATAATGCTATCTAAATCCATATTACTTCAAAAACTATTTTTTCCTCTTGATTGCAGTAGGCTTTCCATTACTGAAAAAAGATGGTATCCAAGAAAAAATTCTAAGCAGAAAATAATTTGGTCATAAAAGAGTTAAGAGCTATCTTCCTAACACAATTTATTTTATTATGATAGAAAATTCAACTGTGTGCCATGAAATTGAGACTAATTTAACTAATTTATTTTAGAAAATTAAAAAAGAGAAAAGCAGAAATAAAAATAAAACCAAAATTATTGGCAATGTTTACATGGTTACAACTTTTATCTACACGCATATGAAAGTTTTCTCTAAAACCTGCAGAAGCTGGAACCTGTAGAAGACGGAAACCTGTCAAGAGAAGGAAAACGAAAATATTTTTCATTAAAATGAGCAGTAAAAAAAAAAAAAAAAATGCTAATACTGCACCCTATCAAAGGTGGAAAACTGAGACCTGGAAAAATAAGGCAGTCCCACTGAGTTCCAGCTCTCACAGATTTCACTATAATTTAAGCTTGATGTGCATTCCATTAAGAGAAGGAGGGATGACTTTAGATCAGACAAAAGCAAAACTGTCTAATGGTTATCAAGTTATTTTATTAACATGCATGAAAAATAACACTTGTGTGGTTTAGTTCATAACATTATTCAGAAAAAAGCTAAACAAAAATATTGCATAGTTGATTTTTTAAAAATCTTTTTATGAATATGAATGTGATGACATCCTTTGTACATATCAGTTTGTGTACTTGTATATTTCCTTCTGAAAAATTCCCACAGGTTCTGCATTGAAGAACTGTGTTGTGTTTCTGGGAAGAAAGTAGAATGGAAAATAATAAAATATTGATGATCATGATCCAAAATAAAAAAGATTAGAAAACATTAGGAATACAAATCTAATTTCATTTTGTATATATTAATACAATTGTAAAAATGTATATGTAAACAAATATATTTATAAACAATTAAGTTAAAAACACATTTTTAAACTGTAAATATATAAATATACATGACAGCACATAACAGTAAACGACAACAAATCTATCTATCTACATATATACAAAATATACATTCCTTATAGGACATATTTCACTTAAAAATGTTTTTAGTGACTTATGAGATAATTCCAGAGATGGGCTCCTTCAGCTACTTTACTGATACAAATTCCAAATTTCAAGAATTGCCCTGCCTTTGTCAACAGGCTGCCTATAAGCTCCTTTTATACCCTGAAAGAAAGTAAGGAAAAAAAAAAGTCTAAACAAAATAATACATTACCCATTCGTTCAGTATTGTCAAGAAATAGAGAATATTACAAACTTAAAAATATCTGTAAATAGAGAAACTCACACCAAATTCAACAGTGCTTTGATTGCTGCTGCACAAGTACCTCAATGCAGGGAGTAGAAAAAGAAGAGTAAGAAAGTGAGAGAAAACTAAGAGAGTGGAGTAAAGGACATACATGAATGACAGGCAAAAACCGCCCAGAAAAGGAAAACTCACTATAAAGCATCAAAATACTCAACTTGGTGTTTCATGGCACTGGCTATAAAGTAGGCCTTGAAAATGAGTGGTTCTTTAGCACTAACCTCAAGAAGATTGCATCCGGGGAGAAACAGATTAATAGGATAGCATTTCTTTCATATGTAACAATAAAGACAAATAAGGAGGGAGAGGAGAATTAAAGACCCCAGTAAGACAAAAGACAAAGAATACATGTAAACCACATCCCACATCATCAATACCTTTGAAAAAAATTTTTTTCACTTCATGATACAAGTTTAATACATACATTAAACATAAAATATACCTTTGCCCACAAAATGCCTATGAATAAAAGGCAACAGTTAAATCCGTTTAAACGTAATATAACAATAAAAAGACACTGAAACAAAAGACAATTGTAATACAGCCCTAGTAACTGCATTGTTGTTGTTGTTGTTGGTATTTGCCACTGAGTCGCGCCCGACTCACAGCAACCCCTCATTGGGTTTCCCAGGCAGTATCACTACAGAAGTAGATTGCCCAATCTTCCTTCTGAGGAGTGGCTGGTGGGTTTGAACCACCAGCCTTCTGGTTAGCAGTCAAGTGCCTTATGCACTATGCTACCAGACCGCCTAGTAACTGCATTAAGGAACCTCAAACAAGAATTCAGGAGTATAAAAATATGAAAGATAAAAACTAAAACACTAAGGACAGAAATGGATAAAACAAAAAGCAATACATCAAGAATTGTGAAGGTATAGGATATAAATGAAAACAAAACAAAATCATTTCAGATAGGGAGAATGGAATAAAATAAAAATTTACTACTAAGGGGCACTGAAGGAAGGCACGAAGACATTCAAGAGAATAAAATAAAATAAAGACAAGGGGCAGAAAGAAAGTGGCAAAGATGTCCAAACATACTTATAATTGGAACAAAAACAAACAATAGTAGAAAACCAATACTTAAAACTGCTATGCTAGAAAACTTTCTGAGGGAAAAAAAAAAAATCCTTAAATCTATATATCAAAAGGGCCTACTAAAGATCTGGTTAAAGTGACTTGGAATAATCAACAAGAGCTATCCTGGTAAAATTATTAGACTTTAAAGACAAGGAAAACAAAATACACAGATCAATTTAGTTATAAGGGTAAGAAAATCAGGGTTGTATCACACATCAAGAAAGCATACAAAGCAAAAACACAAAGCAGTATTTTTAAGGAAGTCAAGACAAGTAAGTGGAAAGCAAGAATTTTATACTCAATCAAATAGCCTTTCAAGTATTAAATCTGTAGAAAAACAGTTTGAACTTGCAAGAACTCAGGGAATACTGTACCCATGTCTCTCTTGCTATATCTTCTATAGAAGGAGCTCCAGCAAGCAACAGGTAACTGTGGTAACAGACTGAGGGTGATCATATATTTGTTTATTTATAGAATCCCTGGGTGGTACAAATAGTGAATGTGCTCTAGTGCTAACCAAAAGGCCCAAAGATCAAGTCCACCCAGTGGTATCTCAGAAGAAAGGCCGAGTGATCTACTTCTAAAAAAATCAGTGATTGAAACCTTACAGAACACAGTTCTACTCTGACACATATGGGGTTGCCATGAGTTTGAACTGACTCATTTGCAAATTGTTGGTTTAGAGCTAGAGCTAAAATAAGTGTGGAGGCAAGAGAAAAAGGTAAACTTTCCGTGTTTTGATAACATATAGATGATGCAATTAAAAGTAGGGGAGAAAGATGAATATAAAAAAATATTGTTGAATACTGTGTCAGTTAGGAGTCAAAGAATACCATTTAACACAGCAACTACTGATATAAAGCAGAAACTACAGGTGACGGAGAAATACAAATACACTAAGGTGAATCTAACCCACTACTCTTAGTTCAAAAAAGGTCAAAATGGGACAAAAAATAAATAAGAATTGTTGTTGTTGTTGTTGTTAAGTGCCATCGAGTCGTTTCCGACTCATAGCGACCCCATGCACAGCAGAACAAAACACTGCCCGATCCCGCGCCAGCCCCACAATCCCTGCTATACTTGAGCCCATCATTGCAGCCACCGTGTCAATCCATCTCGTTGAAGGCCTCCCCCTCTTTCGTTGACCCTCCACCCTACCAAGCATGACATCCTTCTCCAGGGAATGGTCCCTTCTGACAACATGACCAAAATAGGTGAGACGAAGTCTGGCCATTCTTGCTTCCAAGGAGCATTCTGGCTGCACTTCCTCCAGGACAGATATGTTAGTTCTTTTAGCAGTCCATGGTACTTTCAGCATTCTCCGCCAGCACCACAACACAAAAGCATCAACTCTTCTTCAGTCTTCCTTATTCATTGTCCAGCTCTCACATGATACGAGGTGACTGGAAATATCATGGCTTGTGTCAGGCGCACCTCAGTCCTCAAGGAGATATCCTTGCTCCTCAGCACTTGATACAGTTCCTTCGCAGCTGACTTTCCCAATGCTACACATCGTCTAATGTCCTGACTGCTGCTTCCGTTGGCATCGATTGTAGAACCAAGCAACGTGAATTCAGTAAGAATTAGAAGATCTCAATAAGGGGTATTTATTTCAGGATTTGAAGGCACTCTGGTGATGTAGCGGTTAAGGCATTTGACTGCTAACCAAAAGGCTGATGAATTGAACCCACGAGCTGCTCCATGGAAGAAAGATGGGGCAGTCTGCTTCTGTAAAGATTTACAGATGAAAATCCAATGGGAGTAGAGATGAGTTAAAATCGACTT